ATCTGTTGTCTCCAGATTTTTTTTTTTTTTTTTTTGAGACGGAGTTTCACTCCTGTTACCCAGGCTGGAGTGCAATGGCGTGATCTCTGCTCACCGCAACCTCCGCCTCCTGGGTTCAGGCAATTCTCCTGCCTCAGCCTCCTGAGTAGTAGCTGGGATTACAGGCACGTGCCACCATGCCCAGCTAATTTTTTGTAGTTTTAGTAGAGACGGGCTTTCACCATGTTGACCAGGATGGCCTCGATCTCTTGACCTCGTGATCCACCCGCCTCGGCCTCCCAAAGTGCTGGGATTACAGGCTTGAGCCACTGCGCCCGGCTGTCTCCAGATTTTTAAGTGAACGTCATTCTAAATGGTGTGAGATGGTATCTCAATGTGGTTTTGATTTATATTTCTCTAATGACCAGTGATGATAAGGATTTTTTCATATGTTTGTTGGCCACATAAATGTCTTCTTTTGAAAAGTGTCTGTTCATATCCTTTGCCCACTTTTCGATGGGACTGTGTGTTTTTTTCTTGTAAATCTGCTTTAGTTCTTTGTAGATTCTGGATAGTAGCCCTTTGTCAGATGGGTAGATTGCAAAATTTTTTTCCCATTCTGTTGGTTGCCAGTTCACTCTAATGATTGTTTCTTTTGCTATGCAGAAACCCTTAAGTTTAATTAGATCCCATTTGTCTATTTTGGCTTTTGTTGCCATTGCTTTTGGTGTTTTAGCCATGAAGTCCTTGCCTATGCCTATGTCCTGAATGGTATTGCCTAGGTTTTCTTCTAGGGTTTTTATGGTGTTAGGTCTTATTTTTAAATCTTTAATCCATTTGGAGTTAATTTTAATGTAAGGTGTAAGGAAGGGATCCAGTTTCAGCTTTCTGCACATGGCTAGCCAGTTTTCCCAATACCATTTATTAAATGGGGAATCCTTTCCCCATTGCCTGTTTTTGTCAGAGATCAGATGGTTGTAGTTGTGTGGCATTGCTTTCAGGACCTCTGTTCTGTTCCATTGGTCTCTATCTCTGTTTTGGTACCAGTACAATGCTCTTTTGATTACCGTAGCCCTGTATTATAATTTGAAGTCTGATAGTGTGATGCCTCCAGCTTTGTTCTTTTTGCTTAGGATTGTCTTGGCTATGTGGGCTCTCTTTTGGTTCCATAAGAAGTTTAAAGTGGTTTTTTCCAGTTCTGTGATGAAGGTCTATGATAGCTTGATGAGGATAGCATGAAATCTGTAAATTACTTTGGGCAGTATGAACATTTTCATGATATTGATTCTTACTAATCATGAGCATGGGATGTTTTTCCATCTGTTTGTGTCCTCTCTTATTTCCTTGAGCAGTGGTTTGTAGTTCTCTTTGAAGAGGTCTTTTACATGCTTTGTTAGTTGTATTCCTAGGTATTTTATTCTCTTTATGGTAATCATGAATGAGAGTTCACTCATGATTTGGCTCTGTTTATCTTTTATTGGTGTATAGGAATGCTTGTGATTTCTGCATATTGATTTTGTATCCTGAGACTGCTGAAGTTGCTTATCAGTTTAAGGAGGTTTTGGGCTGAGATGATGAGGACTTCTAAATATATGATCATGTCATCTGCAAATACAGACAATTTGACTTCCTCTTTTCCTAATTGAATACCTGTTATTTCTTTTGCTTACCTAATTGCTCTGGCTGGAACTTCCAATACTATATTGAATGGGAGTGGTGAGAGAGGGCTTCCTTGTCTAGTGCCAGTTTTCAAAGGGAGTGCTTCCAGTTTTTGCCTCTTCAATATGACATTGGCTGTGGGTTTGTCGTAAATAGCTTTTATTATTTTGAGATACATTCCATCAATACCTAGTTTATTGAGGGTTTTTAGCATAAAGAGCTGTTGAATTTTGTCAAGGCTTTCTCTGCATCTATTGAGATAATCATGTGGTTTTTGTCTTTGGTTCTGTTTATGTGATGGATTATGTTTATAGACTTGTATATATTGAAACAGCCTTTCATCCCCAAGATGAAGCCTACTTGATCGTGATGGATAAGTTTTTTGATGAGCTGTTGCATTGGGTTTGCCGGTATTTTATTGAAGATTTTTGCATCAGTGTTCATCATGGATATTGACCTGAAGTTTTCTTTTTTAGTTGTGTCTCTGCCAGGTTTTGGTATCAGGATGATGTTGGTCTGATAAAATGAGTTAGGGAGGAGTGCCTCTTTTTGTATTGTTTGGAATAATTTCAGAAGGAATGGTACCAGCTCCTCCTTGTATATCTGGTAGAATTCAGCTGTGAACCCATCTGGACCTTGACTTTTTTTGGTTGGTAGGCTATTAATTGTTGCCTCAACTTCAAACCTTGTTATTGGTCTATTCAGGGTTTCAGCTTCTTCCTAGTTTAGTCTTGGGAGGGTAAAGTGTCCGGGAATTTATCCATTTCTTCCAGATTTACTAGTTTATGTGCATAGCGCTGTTTGTAGTATTCTCTGATGGTAGTTTGTATTTCTGTGGAATCAGTGGTGATCTCCCCTTTATCTTTTTTTATTGCATCTATTCGATTCTTCTCTCTTTTCTTTTTTATTAGTGTGGCTAGTAGTCTATTTTGTTGGCTAGTGGTCTATTTTCAAAAAACCAGCTTTTGGATTTACTGATTTTTTGAAGGGTTTTTTGTGTCTCTATCTCCCTCTGCACATGGCTAGCCAGTTTTCCCAACACCATTTATTGAACAGGGAATCCTTTCCCCATTGCCTGTTTTTGTCAGTTTTGTCAAAGATCAGATGGTTGTAGATGTGAGACGTTGCTTCCGGGACCTCTGTTCTGTTCCATTGGTCTATATCTCTGTTTTGGTACAAGCACCTTGCTGTTTTGATTACTGTAGCCTTGTAGTATAATTTGAAGTCTGGTAGCATGATGCCTCCAGCTTTGTTCTTTTTGCTTAGGATTGTCTTGGCTGTTCTGCTCTGATCTTAGTTATTTCTTCTCTTCTGTTTGCTTTTGAGTTTTTTTTATCTTGCTCCTCTAGCTCTTTCCATTTTGATGATAGGGTGTCACTTTTAGATCTTTCCTTGCTTCTCATGTGGGCATTTATTGCTATAAATTTCCCTCTAGACACTGCTTTAAATTTGTCCCATAGATTCTAGTACATTGTGTCTTTGTTCTCATTGGTTTCAATGGACATTTTTATTTCTGCCTTCATTTCATTGTTTATCCATTCGTCATTCAGGAGCAAATTGTTCAGTTTCCATGTAGTTGTACATTTTTGAGTGAGTTCCCTGATCCTGAGTTCTAATTTCATTGTACTGTGGTCTGAGAGACTGTTTGTTATGATTTCTGTTCTTTTGCATTTGCTGAGGAGTGATTTACTTCCAATTATGTGGTCAATTTTAGAGTAAATATGATGTGGTGCTGAGAAGAATGTATATTCTGTGGATTGGTGTGGAGAGTTTTGTAGATGTCTATTAGGTCCAGTTGGTCCAGATCTGTATTCAAGTCCTGGATATCCTTCTTGATTTTCTGTATTGTTGATTTGTCTAACATTGACAGTGGAGTGTTAAAGTGTCCCACTATTATTGTGCAGGAGTCTAAGTCCCTTTGTAGGTCATTAAGAACTTGCTTTCTGTAGCTGGGTGCTCCTGTATTGGGTGCATATATATTTAGGATAGTTAGCTCTTCTTGCTGCATTGATCCTTTTACTATTATGTAATGTCCTTCTTTGTTTCTTTTGATCTTTGTTGGTTTAAAGTCCATTTTATCAGAGACTAGGGTTGCAACCCCTGTTTTTTTTTTTTTTTTTGCTCTCCATTTGCTTGGTAAATCTTCTTCCATCCCTTTATTTTGAGTCTATGTGTGTCTTTGCCCATGAAATGGGACTCCTAAATACAGCACACTGATAGGTCTTGACTTTTTATCCAATTTGCCAGTCTGTGTCTTTTGATCAGGGCATTTAGGCCATTTACATTTAACATTAATATTGTTACGTTTTAATTTGATCCTGCCATTTTGATGCTAGCTGGTTGTTTTGCCCATTAATTGACACAGTTTCTTCATTGTGTTGATGCTTTTTACCATTTGGTACATTTTTGGAGTGGCTGGTACTGGTTGTTCCTTTCTATGTTAAGTGCTTCCTTCAGGAGCTCTTTTAGGGCAGGTCTGGTGTCGATGAAATCTCTCACCAATTGCCTGTCCCTAAAGGATTTTATTTTTCCTTCACTTATGAAGCTTAGTTTGGCTGGATATGAAATTCTGGGTTTAAAGTTCTTTTCTTTAAGGGTGTTGAATATTGGCCCCCACTCTCTTCTGACATGTAGGGTTTCTGTGGAGAAATCTGCTGTGAGTCTGATGGACTTCCCTTTGTGGGTGACCTGACCTTTCTCTTGGGCTACTCTTAGCATTTTTTTCTTCATTTCAACACTGGTGACTCTGACAATTATGTGCCTTGGGGTTCCTCTTCTTGAGGAGTATCTTTGTGATGTTCCCTGTATTTCCTGGATTTGGATGTTGGCCTGCCTTGCTAGGTTGGGGAAGTTCTCCTGGATAATATACTCAAGAGTGTTTTCTAGTTTATATTCCTTCCAATCACATTCAGGTACACCAATCAAGTGTAGATTAGGTCTTTTCACATAATCCCATATTTTTTGGAGGCTTTGTTCATTTCTTTTCACTTTTTTTTTTCTCTAACCTTGCCTTCTCGTTTTATTTCATTGAGTTATCTTCAACTTCTGATACCTTTCTTCTGTTTGATTGATTCGGCTATTGAAACTTGTGTATGCTTTGCAAATTTCTCATGCTGTGTTTTTCAGCTCCATCAAGTCATTTATGTTCTTCTCTAAGCTAGTTATTCTGTTAGCATTTTGTCTAACCTTTTTTCAAGGTTTTTAGTTTCTTTGCGTTGGGTTAGAACATGTTCCTTTAGCTCAGAGAAGTTTATTACCCGCCTTCTGAAGCCTGCTTTTGTCAGTTTGTCAAACTCATTCCCCATCCTGTTTTGCTCCCTTGCTGGTGAGGAGTTGTGGTCCGTTTGTGGAGAGGTGTTCTGGTCTTTGATAATTTCATCCTTTTTGCACTGGCACTGGTTTCTTCCCATCTTCGTGAATTTATCTACCTTTGATCTTTGAAGGTGGTGATTTCAGATGGGATCTCTGAGTGAGCATCCTTTCTGTTGAAGTTGAAGCTATTTCTCCTGTTTGAGGAGAAATAGCTTCAATAGCATTTTTTTTTTTGGTTATGCAGTTGTCAGGAAGCCATTTGACAAGGCAGTCTGTCGCTCATCTTCCTGCAGAGGCACTGTTGGGCTGCCTTGGCTCAGCCTGGCTGCTGGGTAGTCTTCCTCTGGGTTTTGTTTACGCAGGTGAGGTTAGATCCACCTTCCCAATGGTGGCTTCTTTCCTCCCACCAAGCTCAATCATCCCAGGTTGCTGTGCTGGCTGCAAAACTCTAGTGAGAGGATTTCAGTTTGCTGGACTTTGTGGGGGTGGGACCTGCCAAGCCATATCACCTGTTTCCCTGCTTTCAACTCTCCCTGTTTGTGGGGGACGGGTAGTTCCTTCCGGAAAGCATTCTCAGTGTTAGCCAAAACTTCTGCCCAGGTCTGTGCCAACAACTGGTGGCACCAGGCAGATCAGAGCTGTCTCTCAGATCTGTGTTGATAGCTTGTGCTTTTCAGCCTGGCAGCATTTTCCTGTGCTGTGCATTGCAGAGGGCACGGGGGAAGCGCAATATCTGGACCGGAATGCCGAGGGGGTATGATCCCTGATCCTCCAGGCCAGTTGCACTTCCCAGGTGGGGCAGTGCCCTGCCCTGCTTCGGTTAGCCCTCTTTGGGTTACTCCCACCCTGCTTTGGTTCACCCTTTTTGGGCTATTCTCACTGTCCGACCGGTCCCATTGAAATGAACCTGGTACCTCATTTGGGAATGTGGAGATTGCTCGCCTTCTGGGTATCTCTCCCTGGGAGCTGCTCTCCAGAGTTGTTCCTGTTCAGCCATTTTAGCAGACCTCTACATATTAACAACTTTTAGGGATGGCATTGTGGATAAGATGTTTCCAGTCTTGGTTCTGCCACTTCTCAGTTGTGGGCTCTTGAGCAGGTTACTTTACCTCTCTCAGCCTCAGTTTCTTCAATGATAAAATGGAAGTCCTGGAAATACTCACCTGGGGGTAGTTGTTAGAATTGAGTTGTAATTCTTAATTCTGGTGTGGGGGTGCATGTAGAGCCTTTAGCCCAGGGCCTGGGATGTAGTACACACTCAGTAGTAGTAATGTTCGCTTTTTAAACTTTCTGTCCGCTACCACTTTTGGAAAAAACATCAAATGCATGTTCCAGTGATGGGTACTGGTGCTGTCTTTCTAGTTTCCCTTACGTAGATCTTAAGTGCACAATGGGATAAATTTTGACGTATGTACACATTGTATAATCAGTACTCCAAATACTATGCAGAACATTTCTGTCATCCTCGAAAGTTTCTTGGTGCCCCTTTCAGTTAGTCTCCAAACACCCCAAGAGGCACCCAGTGATTCTGTGTTGATATTGCAGGCTGTGGATGTCCACATTGAAACTATTGAGTGTCCTAAAAGTAGAATTGCTTCTTAGGAGTGTTCTTTTCAGTATAAGAGGATGGTTTCTATATACTGACTACATGAGTGTAATGACAGTTGTGAACAAGAGACTACCCAAAAGAAGACCTCATCTCATCAGTCAGGTTTACTCTTTGTAGAGAAAGATAGTTACAGGAAGATAAACACCAGCACCTCAGCAGTGGTTTTGTGAGGTAATGCAGGTGATTTTTATTTTCTTTTTGATTGTTTTCAGATGTTCTATATGGAACAAGTGTTGTCTTTTTATCATTTAAAAAATGCTGTTTTATTTATTTATTTAGAGACAGAATCTTGCTCTGTTATCCAGGCTGGAGTGCAGTGGCTCGATCTCAGCTCACTGCAACCTCCACCTCCCGGGCTCAAGTGATTCTCCAGCCTCAGCCTCCCAAATAGCAAGGATTGCAGGTGTGCATCACCACACTCAGCTAATTTTTGCATTTTTAGTAGAGATGGGGTTTTTGCCATGTTGGTCAGGCTGGTCTCAAACTTCTGAACCCTAGTGATCCACCTGCCTGGGCTTAGCAAAGTGGAGGGGTTGCAGGTGTGAGCTATCACACGTGGCCAAAAATGCTATTTTAGAAGTGATCTCATATGATACTATGTGTTTCAACATGATGTCAGAAATTGGTAGCCTGCTGCTTTATCAGTTAAGTTCTGTCAAGCCCCAGCCTCATGCTGTGGGCACTCCTTGTCTGTGAAACCCAGTTCTACAGAAGTTTCAAAGGCATTGTCTTAGTTTGTTCAGGCTGCCATAATAAATAGCATGGACCAGATTCCTTGAACCGAACTATATTTCTCACTGCTCTGAAGACTGGGAATTTGAAAATCTGGGTGCTGGCCAATTTGGTTCCTCATGAGGGCTCTCTTCCTGGCTCTAAGGTAGCTGCCATCTTGCTGTGTTCTCATGTGGTGAGGGGCTGGAGAGAGCACAAGCTTTCTGGTGTCTCTTCTTATAAGGTCAGAAATTCTATCATGAGACCCCACCTTTGTGGCCCTATCTAGCCCCAGTTATCCCCAAAGGCTCTACTTCCAAATGCTATCACATTAGAGCTTAGGGCTTAACATATGAATTCTGGCAGGACACAAAACATTCAGTTCATCACAGTCATTCATTCATACACATATTCAGTGTTTTCAGTTACATTAAGCAAAGTGTTTTGCAGCTACTTGGTTTGATAGTGCAAAATCTACCCAGAAATGGTTTCAGCCCTAAGGAAAACAGCACCTGCTACAGTGAACACACAGTAGATGGGCACAAGAGAATAGCCAAGGATTAGATCCAGCGTTGTCATGCTTTTGGCTCATTAAGCCATGCCTGTTAGTCTTGGAGCTCTATTTTGAGGTGTGTTGAGGCCAAACCCTTCTGCTAGATTACAGTACTTAAGCCTGGCAGGAGAAAAAGCTTTAGAGTTTTAGAGTGCAGTTTTAGAGTGTAACTTTTGATAAATAGTCTGTAGCATGCCCCTGAAAGGGGAAGTTTTTCCTTTGTCTTGCAAATGTCAAATTGGACTGTTCTGTAAACTTTCTAAGTAGAATTATAAAGTGGTACAAATGCCTGTTGCTCTTTGGTGAAAATGCTCACACATGATGAATTTGTCAGTTCAGTTGCAAAGAGAAGTTGGTGAAAGCTGACAGGCAAACTACCACGCCCCCTGGAGAACAATGTCCTGGGGGCGTCGGACTTGCTAGGTGTGTGGCTGGTGCGGCAATGGGAAGGCAGCGCTTTGACTGTCTGACCTCTCACCTCTCACTCCTCCCTTGGCACTGCTCCTCTGACCTCCTGGGTAGCCATGTAAGCCTGAGCTTGTGTGTACAGAGTTTTGTTCTACCCTGTTCCTGGCACTTTCGTCAAAATTTGCTATGTTCCACTGACAAAATTCTAGAATCTCAAGGTTGAAATGGAGTTCAAAGTTATAAACCCTCTTCTCTCAAAGCATGAATATCTAACATCTGCTAAGCAGTCATTTTTTTCTATACTTAAACACGTCCGAGCAAAGAGGAACTTACTTCCTCCACTTTCAGGGATCTATGGCTTTTGGAAAAATTTGCCTTTGTGTTGACTCAAACAGTGTTTCCCAGTAGCTTCAGTTCACTGGTCCTGGACCGCCTATAAGGGGTAGATTTAAAAAAAAAGAAAAAAAAAAAACAACGAAAGCTGTGGAGATATGCGAAGGCAGTCCAGGTCTCCCAATCTAGTTTACCTGTCAACAAAAGAAACACTATTAACCTGATAGTTGCTCATTCTGGTTATCTCTGTAGGGTTACTGATTTCTTAGCAATCCGTAAACCATTCATGTCACTGCACATTCTAGATACTTGCAGCAATATCCAGTTGACTTGTCACATTCTTCTCTTATGAAATCAGAACTATCTTAACTTGCAGCTGGCTAACTAAACTGAGTTATTGCAGCTCATGTTACTTCTCTTGTTTAAGATTTGGTCTCGGTCTTCTTTGGAAACAGGGTCTCTCTCTCTGCTGCCCAGACTGGAGTGTAGTAGTACGATCACCGTTCACTGCAGTCTGGACCTCCTGTTCTCAAACAATCCTCCCACCGCAGCCTCCCAGGTATCTGGGACTACAAGTGTGTGCCAGCACACCCAGCTCATTTTTGTAGTATTTTTAGAGATGGGGTCTTGCTATGTTGCCTAGGCTGGTCTTGAACTCTGGGCTCAAGCAACCCTCCCACTCTGGCCTCCCAAAGTGCTAGGATTACGCGTGAGCCACCATGCCCATCCGTGGTCTTTAATTGGATATCGTTGATGCTGACTATAGAGTAGCAAGCATGGTGGAAAGTTAATTGGTGTGATGATCTCAGAAAAGGGTGTTGTGAGGATCTCAGGAATTTAATCACTGCATACATTTGAGAGTATAGCTTCAGCCTCTTTGTGCACATGAAAACAGAGAAGGTAGTCCTAAATCCCAGAACTAGGGATCTCTGTGCACATCCCTCTCTGCAAAGGTGTATATTTTCCTCTCAAGTCAATCTGTGACTTGCTCAAGGGTGAATTACCAAAGATGAAACACAGGCTGAGCACAGGGGTGGGTATGGGGGAGACAAGGAAATCACTTTTGGATATGTCAAAGTAGAGGTACCTATAGAGCTCCTTCAAATGGTCCATCTCAAAGTTGGAAATGCCAGGCTATTGTTTAAGACCGTAGCAACAGACTCTAGATTGATTGCATGGAACAGTGTGAAAATGAGACAGTATTGGCTTACGTTAAAAACAAGGCTTTGAATTCAAACTTAGATTTAAAACTTACCCCCACAGTGTACTATAATTCTGTGATATTGGACAAACTCTTTAATTCTCTAAATCTCAGCTTTCTAATCTACATGAGGATAGCAGTACTATCTATTCCACAGGGTTACTGTGAAAATTAATTCATATAGCTTGTTTCTTCCAATATTTAGAAAGATGACATCAGCAAATTCTCCATTGACATTATCAGTTGTTAAAAAGAAAAGTGATCTAGGAAAGGAAATTAAACAATGAATTTACTTGGAACACAGAACCAATAAGGAAATTGTTGAATAAATTATTGTTATACCCATACTGTAAAATATAATGCAACAATTAAAACAAAGAATAAATTAGATCTACATTTATTAACCTGGATGGTTTGTTCCTGATAGATAAGTAAATGAAAAAAAGATATTAAAGAGAAGTGTGTGCTTATTTTAATCCCATTAAAAAAAAACAGTAGCAAAAGCCATCCGTACATAGACATGTACATGGGGAAACAAAAGTTTGAGATGGGGTGAGTGGTTATTAATTTTTTTATTATGTATCTTATATTGTCTCACTGATTGTGGTGAGAATGTGTTAACTTTTTTTTATTTTTTAGGATAAATTTTTTTAAAAAGAAATAAGGTAAAGGACTGAGGGGTGGATGGTGGAAGAAGAGAAGTCAGCCAGCGAGATGTGAGAGGCAGTAGGTGGACAGGGAGGAGACATATCCAGGGTAGTACAGCATTAAACACCAAGAGTCTCATACTTTCCTCATTTGTCATGGCTACAGAAGGGCTTGCATCTTGAGCTCTTCTCATTCATTTCATTTGTTATCCCTCAATTTCTGGCACAGGACATGGCAATATTTCTTTTTTCCTGTCTTCATTTCTGTTTTATTTCTAGCACTGAGCCAACATTTGTCTGCAAGAATTCATGGTGGGGAGATAAGTGATGAGATGGGTAGAAACACGGTATCTTTTATTGACTAAAGAGCAATGTCACTTTAATTTAATTTTAAAATGTAAATTAATGCATATACATAAAAAGGACATTTTTAGCTGTTCTAAAATGATTACAGTGAATGCTACATCCTCTTTATACCCTTGTCCCCAGCCTCTCAATTCCTTTTCCTTAAGACATGTCCTTATATGTCCTTCCAGAAATGGTCTATGCATATGCAAGCTCTGCATTTGAATGACTCCTGTTGAAAAACAAATGGTGGTATATTATCTACTTGAAGAACAGAGATTTTTTTTCGTAAGTCTTTAAAGAGATGAAATCTAAACCCTTAAAAAAAGGTAGTAGGTAGGCAATCTTTTCTTTTATCAGAGTGGTCTGTGGGTGAGAGTTCAAGTCCTGTAAATAATTCTGCCACCTCTTGTTGGAGAAACTGCTAGTGTTTTTCAAATCATGCAACAGGCTTATAAACATTTATTGCAGTTGCTAGCTACAAAGAAAGATTTCTTTCCAGCACTACTGCTCCTGGTAGAGCAGTTACATCAGTCATTATTTATAACTGGATTCAAGAGTAGCAGCACAGGCTGGATGCGGTGGCTCCCCACTGTAATCCCAGCACCTCGGGAGGCTGAAGCGGGCGGATCACCTGAGGTCAGGAGTTTGAGATCAGCCTGCCCAACATGGTGAAACTCTATCTCTACCAAAAATACAAAAATTAGCTGGGCATGGTGTAATCTCAGCTACCGGGAGGCTGAGGCAGAGTTGCTGGAACCCAGGAGGTGGAGGTTGCAGTGAGCCGCCCAGGTGACAAGACCGAAGCTCTGTAACACACACACACACACACACACACACACACACAAAGAGTAACAGCACATACTTCTACCGTGGTTGTAGAGTGCCTTCTGTTGTGCCGAAGTGGATTGCTTATTCACCAGGGAGTTCTCAAACACCTTTCCCTGTAGGCACTGGCCCAAATACTGACAAGGGAAAGAAAATTAAAAATGAGCTCCTGTCCTTTAAGAACAGATGGGAGCAGCCCCAAATCTTGCAAATGAAGCAAGAGGGGGTATTCAGTCTTTAATCAGAGCAGGTTGCCTCTCCCAAGTTCACCCAGTGAGGATTTTAACACTCCTTTGACAAAGAAATGGGATCGAGCAGCAGAGGAAGGCAGGTGACACTGAGTCATGGAACTCACCCTTTCCAGCCCTTTCTGGGCGGCTTGTGGCTCTTGGGTTGATTCTTGAAGGGAAGGAATTAATGATGGAG